GAAATAGAGCAAAGAATTCTCTACAAAATGAACTAATTTTTAATTTATTTGCTTAAAATTCTCCGGTGAAACAAAGTTCTTTAAGTTCATTCTAGCCATTTTGGTTGTGCTGATCATAATTACCCCGTGGTAATTATGATCAATTGAACTTTATGTCTTATTCAGGGTGCCCAAATCCAATTTTTCGGAATCAGGAGTTGATCAGGAGAAAAACAGTAGAGTATCTGGTAGTTTTTCTTGGACAAGGAAAATTTTCATTCCCATAAACGTTTGTGAGTTTTTTCTACTAAGTAAGTAATGAGAAGGTCTATCTTACAAGCGAAACAAAGAAAAAGAGAGAAATATAATCACAGATACTTTATTCCACCGGTATTTTTCCAGTTTTTGATTTAACAGTATAAACAAAACAAACAAATATTTCTTCAGAAACCGATAAGAGCCGAAAAAAACAAAGCGAATATGCAAACTGTTTGCTGTACTCTCTGTGTTTTTTTGTGCGACTTCACTGTACTGCACGACCATTCTCTTTTTCTTCTCCGCTTTTTTATTGGTCCGAAATGTCGCTAAAATCGATGCAGGAACACAATTGAAAATCAGGAGAAAATCTTAAAATTCAGCTTCTGAAATCAGGAGAAAAGTCTAAAGATCAGGAGATTTGGGCACTCTGGTCCTATTGCACTAGATGAGGGATCTAACGGCAATAATTGAGGCCAAATTTCAAGTGCCCTTGTAAAATAAGAGCACGCTTCGATATAAATATTCATAGAACAGTGTGCTTCGATAAATGTATAGATAAAATTTATTTACCCGTTGTATATGATTATGACCTACTGCATATAGTACAGAAACCACTATGAACTTGAATCTGAATCTGGACTTGGACTTAGAAATGGTCGGACTTGCCCACCTCTGATTGCGATCAGATTTATTAACATCATAGTTAATTTCTGATGTATAGCTAGTTTAAGATAAAGATGAATTGCTTAATCCTACCACTTGCCTTTTTCATACGCTATAATGTTGTGTGAATTTTATATGAATCTTTTTACCTTTTTTAAGGAACAAATAAATTATAATAATGGGTGAATAAAAAAAATAATTAAAAAAAAATAATGTGTAATAGAAAATGAAAGTTTGAAAAACTAAGTATTCGATTGATCATATACACTTGATTATATAAGTGATACAGTGGGTACTCATTGTAACAAGAATAAATAGGCAACTAACAACAATGGTTATTTTAAAGGTAAATACATCGTTTGCTATATTTCAAAAAAATATTGTACAATGAGTTGAGGTATTTAGAATGGACGATATATACTACTGGCAGATCAAAGTGAAACACATTCTTAAAGAATCTAGCAGTACTGCTAACCGACCTTCTTTCTCGATTATTTTTTATTTGAGTACATAAATAATAACAGCAAAGTATGTACAAATGTACGTGCGAAACAAATTCTCACCCTCACCCATTAAAATGTCTGCTTATACTAACTGTCAATATTAACTGAAATCTAGTTTCGCTTGCATGTTTTCGATTATGTGACAAGTTTTTTAAAAACGCTTGTCATGATGTGTAAAGTGAACTTAGACGACATTTAAATCTCAGAATAGGGTATGACTACAAAGTTTTGATTTTTTTTCGTCCCTTTTAAATCATCCACTTCATAGAACTTTTGCCAGACGAGCATGCTAACAGACAGCATATTTTTTGAAGCTTTTAGCCGCACTCTACGTTAATTTTCTTGTTTCATACATACCAATTTATGGCTGTATTCCTTCCATTCAAGTTATTGACAATTCTTTGTACAGCGGCACAGATTTACATCGACTGCAAATATAAGGAGCATCAGTCTCACAGCGATATTACGGGCATACGTTCAATGAACTTTGCATGATAATGGATGATTCTTATACCAGCTGGTATAAGCTAGCTTTTCATCTTCAGTTATAGGAGTTGAACACAATCATTCTGCTTTACAAGGTAGACACAGATATAAAGAGAGCTATTCACCAAGTGACTATGAAAAACGTTCAAAGTTTACCCTAACCTCCTAATACGGGAAGGCTAATTTTTGTAGCTATTTTTATCTTGAATTTTTCATTATATTAGATTGAAATCTTATAGTTTTCGTACATAAGATTTTCATATTCACAGTGTATCTTTCAAACTTCTGTCGTATCAAATTTTTATAAACATTTTATGAAAAAATTACACAAATGCGAGATTGAATCACTTGGGATTCACAAAAACTTCATAAATGTTTCAAGAATGTTTGTGTATAAGTGATTTCCTTGGTTAGTATCATATATTAAATAAACCCAATCTGACAAACAACACACGTTGCAATCTAATCGACGTCAAAGAGAAACCTTACAAACTCAATACTGCCTATTTCCTTCTCCCTTCGCCGTATCCGATTTTGGACGCGTGATCATAATTAATTTCATTTACTGACGATGATCGGGTGCATTGTGGTGCATAACGAGAAAATAGACTTGAGCGAAAACGATCTATTGGTTCGTGAAATAAAGGTTGTAACTGAGTACAGCGCGATGGTAAATAATATTTGGAATCGACGCGCTCACGATCTTCAACATTATAACTCAATTGTTCGCGCTTATTCAAATAGAGGCTATCATCGTGTTCAAAATTTGGTATGCCGCCCAGATACGCATTCTAAATAGATTAAAAAAACTACACATAAACTTCGCTTCACCACACAGTGTAAAATCATTACATTTGAAATTATTTTTCGATTAACCATATCTCGCCGCCATGGCTCAACGTAACGCAGAGGAATCATTGGATGAAGACTGGAAAATCGTGGGATTCTATATTACAGAGAAAGTTATCAGCTTTTGAAAGAAGATGAAATATATAGACTCAACCATCCTACTAGAACTTCCTTATCTTACCACATCTAAAGAAATATTGATTCTGGGACTCTCACGGAATCCGATACCACGCCTAAACCACCAAAAATAAAAGGTCTCTTCGGTCCGGTTTTGTAGAAGACACTTTGAACTATCTCTCTATGGAAAAAAATGATAAGTTGCTATTTTAGTTTTTTGAGATCCGAAGTGATTTTACATAGATCTCTTTAAAACTCGGTCTCTGAAATTTTTTCGAAACCAGTTTTGTTAGGAAAACATGGCTTAAACTCTTGGCTATCGAATGTTAAAAACCGCACGTTATTGTCTTGCGTTGTTCGCGAGTTATTCAAACAATGGCCACACGTCTCTTATTTTTTTTACAGATAGTACATGCACACACAGTTTTAAATTCGCACAAATCGTAGCCAACATTGCGCTTTAGATTCTCATAATAAACGCAGACTATTATATAGTAGCAAAGAGAAAAAGACAATTATTTCGATCAGTGGTGCACATACAAACCGTATAACTGAGTAGCTTCTTTGATATCTTTTCATGATTATTAAATAATTAGCAACTGATAAGATTCGTTGCTTAACTGAAATACAATCCAGTACTTCAGCAATTCTTACTGTAGTCTTACTTACAGACATTTACCATTTGGTTGTTAGCAAAAAACCTCTCTACTAAACTAAAACCATCTGTTAAACTGTGATAGATAGATGGAAATTAACTAATTTGTCAATAGTAAAAGAAAAATGATAAATTTTGTTGAAAATACGACAAAAACTTCTTACGCGTTTATGCATCTCGGCTGTAGATGCTACGAATGTGTTCAACGTTTCTTATCTGCCTCCTTTTGAAAGAAGAAACAACTTTTCTCATCACAATAGTACATTAGAAATTGAAGACTTTCCAGTCTAAAAAAACTCTTTGCACTGTCTGCCAACCGTATCTGTTCGCGGAAAAATTTTTATTGACTACTATATGGCTGGCTGTCAGATTTGTGTTTTAGCCGAAAATAATCAGTAATATCTGATGAGAAAGAAAAACGTGACAAAAGGCATAATTGATAGAATTTTTGCATTTAGTCTGCACATGCCCTGACCGTACTGGGTGAATATCACTTATCGTAAAAGTAAACATGCATGCGTTATATTTCCTTTTTAGTGCAGATTGTTTGACACAGGCCAGAGTCATTGTTTATTACTAGTTTATTCGATTCATTTGTGTTTTTGTTAGATAAAAAGCTTTCATTTGTCCAGATTTTGTTCTTAATGAGCTCATCTTTGAGAGACCTATACATATTGTCTATAAGTTTTTCCACAAGCAACTTTCTGTCCAGGGGCGTCCCGATACCTCGGAGGCAGGGGGGGGGGGCAAAGTCAATTTCGGAGTAAATTTTTATGCTTTTAAAAATTGGAATAAAAATAAAAAAACAATGAAAAATATGCAAAGCAGTTTTTTTATAAAGCAAGCGTGACT